AGAGTAAAGTCAGACTACGTAAGAAAGTCATTAGGGCCGAAAGATCAGCACCATCTCACATCTATCGGTTACAAGCCTTGCGTACAGTACAATTCATTCTAGAGGACTCTTTACAACCTTTGATTAACGATTTCCAATTATTCCCCTCAGAACGCAAATACAGATTTCCCAATTTTAAAACAGATAGGTTTAAGTTCTCATTTGTACCTGGGGACATAACGTTGCTTAACAAATGACTGATTTGTGTGTGTACATGCCTATTGTTTACCTCTTGAGAATAATAAAGGCTCTTTGTCAGTACAGACACTGAATGGAGACTACAGTTCACTGCAATGAGACTGAGAGATTACCTAATAAAGCCTGAAGGGCTGAATTAGGCTAATACTTACTGCCAATCAATAGACGGAAACAAACTGTAAACATAAAAAATAAATCACCTGAACTGCTACCACCACAAGGCCCTGTAGAGCCCAGAGAAGATCCCCTTCAGCACACTACACACTTTCCAACCCTCAGCACAGCAAAATAAAAACAAGACGAATCAAAGCCAACCAGACCATGCCACAAGACGAACAAGACTACTTGACACATACACAAGATGGAAAGCTACAGGACCCTAGAAAGACAAACATTAGCTGGGTATTGGACCACGGTAAGAGACAGTGAGAAGAAACACACCATGATGAGGTACAGCCTCAGTGACCACAGCCTGAGCTCCTACTGCCAGCAGGGAGAAGCAGAGACAGAGATATACTTTCTGCTGCTTTGTAAGAAATAGTTTGGGATTAAACAAACATTCTTCCCTAAAATAACATCTAATCCCAGTATTCCCACATCTGCTAGAATCAGATAATCTTGCAGTCCTACTGGGGGAAGAAACTCAATAGAGCTGCAACCCAATATCTGTTGTCACAGCCTGAGGTACAGAGAGTAAGCCTGTCTCAAGGTTTTATGTGATGTATGTACATGCCCAATGATGTTTGTACTGTAAATGACGGTAAATGTTGTATTAATTGCATCATCTTTGGCAAGACAGTAATTCATTGGCCTGCCAATAAAGCTCTTGAATTTGAACCTGAATTAA